TGCTTTCAGGCAAGTCAACCCCAAGATGGCATGACTGCCGTATCCGGGATGTGGAATGGTACCTGGGGAGCTGGGGGGGTGCTGTTGATGTGGAGCAAGATGCAGCAGCAGAAGAGGATTCAGCCGAGGAGGTTATGGAAGAGGATGGAGTAGGAGGAGTAGAGGAGGTGGCAGCAGGCCTGCCTGCAAGTCGTGGCGGTGTCACCAACTCCTCTGCAGAGCCACTCATTCCATGCTTGGCAGCCGTCAGCAGGTTTACCCAATGCGCAGTGTAAGAGATATACCTGCCCTGACCATGCTTTGCAGACCAGGTATCAGTGGTCAGATGGACCCTTGCCCCAACACTGTGTGCCAGACATGCCATTACTTCCTTTTGCACAATCGAGTACAGGTTGGGGATTGCCTTTTGTGTAAAGAAATTTCGATCGGGTACCTCCCAATAGCTACAATTTTTTTGAACGCCTCAGACTCCACCAGCTTGTATGGTAAAAGCTGGCGGGCTAAGAGTTCAGTCAAGTCAGGTGTCAGACGCCGGGCAAGGGGGTGACTTTGTGACATTGGCTTCTTACGCTCAAACATGTCCTTGACAGACACCTGACTGTGGGCAGATGAGCAGGAACTGCTCAAGGCGAGAGACGGAGGGGCGGATGGTTGAGAGGGGGCAAGGAGGACAGCAGTGGTTAACGTGGCTGAAGATGCTGGACCAGGAGGAGGATGGCGGCTTTGAGTTTGTGTGCTGCTTGTACTCATGTGTTGATCCCATAGGCGTTTGTGATGTGCGATCATGTGCCTTCGCAAAGCAGTTGTACCTAGGTGGGTGTTGGACTTCCCACGACTCAGTTTCTTTTGGCACAGATTGCAAATGGCATCGCTGTTGTCAGAGGCAGACACACAAAAAAAATGCCACACTGCTGAGCTCTGCAATGACGGCATTCTGGTGGTGGCAACAGCATGCGTTGATTGGCGTGCTGTCTGGGTGACCCCGGGTGCCAATGCATGCTGTCTGACTGTGCCACTAGCTCCTTGCGACGACCTCCCCCTGCTTCCAACTCGTCTCCTCCTCCTCCTCTCTGTCTCCCCATCTGAACTTCCCCCCTGTTCGTCTTCTCTTCTAGCGGCACCCATGTGACATCCACAGACGCATCGCCATCATCAACAGCTTCACTTGTATCTGACAACTCAGCAAAGGAAGCAGCAGCGGGTACAACATCATCATCATCACACCGTATGTCCATGTGTGTAATGCTGCCTGACTGAGACATATCCCTGTTATCTACATCCTCTGGCAATAATGGTTGCGCATCACTCATTTCTTCCAACTGATGTGTAAATAACTCCTCTGACATACCAAGTGAAGCTGCTATGGTGCTAGTATTGGTGGTGGCGGCAGGCGGGCGAGTGGTAACTTGAGAGGTGACCGAAGCTAAGCTGGAGGAGGATGGTGCGTCAAGGTTCCGAGCGGAAGCTGTAGAAGATTGGGTGTCCTGTGTTAGCCAGTCAACTATGTCCTCAGAACTTTTCGAGTTCAGGGTACGTGGCCTCTGAACACTGGGCATTATTCTAGGGCCAAAGGGAATCACAGCACCACGACCACGACGGCCCCTGCGGGGTGGCCTGCCTCTGCCTGTCATTTTTTTTTCGATTAGTGGTACTATGCGTGCAAGCTACTGTGACAACAGATATGAGTGGCACTGTGCAGTGGCAGAAGTTGGCAGAGTAGACGCTGTAGGCCTGACACACACGCTTGCAGACAACTAACTGCTATTCAATCTATTACAGTCCAAATTTATTTTTATTTTTTTTAAATGTACACTACTGTTACACCAGATATGAGTTGCAGTGGTGTGACACTATGCCCTGGCAGGCCCTGAAACGCACACGCGTGAAGGAAACTGACTGCTATTATATTACAGTCCCAAAAATATTTTTTTTTAAATGCAAGCTATTGTGACACCAGTGAGTGAGTGGTGGCACTGGGCAGGCCCTGAAATGCACACTAGTGAAGGAAACTGACTGCTCTTATATTACAGTCAAAAAAGTTTTTTGTTTTTTTTAAATGCAAGCTATTGTGACACCAGTGAGTGAGTGGTGGCACTGGGCAGGCCCTGAAACGCACACTAGTGAAGGAAACTGACTGCTATTATATTACAGTCAAAAAAGTTTTTTATTTTTTTTTAAATGCAAGCTGTTGTGACACCAGTGAGTGAGTGGTGGCACTGGGCAAGTGGGCACAGTATATGCTGTGAGCCTGACACACAGGCTGGCAGGCAGGCAACTGCAATTACATTACACAGAAAAAAAAGCAGACTGATGTTCTAGCCCTAAAAAGGGCTTTTTGGGGTGCTGTCCTTACAGCAGAGATCAGATGAGTCCTTCAGGACTGTAGTGGACACTGAATACACTAGCCTAGCTATCAATTTCCCTATCAAATCAGCAGCAGCTACACTGTCCCTCCTCTCACTAAGAATGCAGCTTCACAATGAATGTAAAATGGATGCTGTCCAGGAGGTGGGAGGGTCTGGGAGGGAGGGTCTGCTGCTGATTGGCTGGAATGTGTCTGCTGACTGTGAGGTACAGGATCAAAGTTTACTCAATGATGATGAATAGGGGGTGGACCGAACAGCGCATATGTTCGCCATCCGTGGCGAACGCGAACAAGCGATATTCGCCAGGAACTATTCGCCAGCGAACCGTTCGGGACATCACTGATTCTGATTTACATTCTGAAAAAAACAAACCCCTGAATGCAGCAATTATTGTATTGCCTGTAAGGAATGTGTGCCGGCCTAAAAAATAAATGCAGTTTCATTACTTTTAAAAAGGGCAAGTGAAGCACTAAAGCAATTACAAACCACAAAGGTGAGTCAAATTAGGTTAATTACTAATTAGCAATGTAAGGTGTCTGACAATTAGCACTTTGATGTTAGAGTTTTCAAAGCAGAGTTCCCACACATTTCAAAACATAACCACTGAAATTACACATTTGAAATACTGATCCTCATTGCTGGGTGTTCAGAGAATACTGTTACTATGATAAAGTTAGGAGGGAAGTTATGGCTCGGGGACTTTCGACCTAAGTCCCCCCCAAAAAACCTAAATAGCTCTAACTTCACAATGTTACAGCATCAGGTACAGCATTGTGCTGAGTACTGTGTCCATCATTTAGAACAATACTATAATCACCCTGCCTGATTATTAATATAGCTACAATATAGCATTGCTACATATTATAGTTAAAATTATCGTTTGCACATCAGTATTTTTTCAAGTAAAGTCCGACATTTGAAGAGACCACACTCTCAGTCCATGAACTGGAGGTGTATAAGACAATGCTCACCTCATGGGCTAAACACTTTACAGGATAGTTGTTACTTTACAAGAACAGGATAAAAATAGCACAGTAGAATCAGTGCCCATGTGGCCCAATTTGAGCAAAATCTTTATATTATAACATTCACAAATTTGTAATTCCTGGCAGGACTGCCATTCGGAAACCATTAGTACCCAAGGCCAACGTGTAAAGAGTCTTAACATAGTGTAAGAAACACATATCTGGAACAGTAAGCAAAGGAAAGGAAGTATTATGGTCTAATAAGTGATCATTTGCTGAATTTTTTACATCAGGTAGATTCCACTTTGAGAAAGCCAACGGATTTGGTGGATGTTTAATGTTATGGTCCTCCGTCTCTTGGCAGTCATTAGATCTAATGATTCCTCTGCATGGCCATACATATGGCACATGAGGCCATATTATCAGAATTGGTGCACTCTATGGGAAAGTCATTGGTTCATCATTATGTCCATTGTTTCAGGATGAGAACACCCCATATACAATGTTTAACAGTGTAATGGAACCGCTGGTACCCCGACCGGGTACCTTCCATTGATGGATGCTCCTAGTGCTTTCCGAGGACTCCAAGCACTCCGCCAGACACCTTAACCACTGTAGACTCCCATGAAGCTTGGTTGGGGTCTTGCCGTCTCCACCCACTCTGGACCCAAGACTAGGGTCCAGCTTCCAGTAGGTCAACCTCTCCGAATTCCAGAGAGCAGGAACAGGAACAAGCTCTTAGTAGAGCTTAGTGATTATACCCTGGGGAATATAGTGATTATAGTAATCCCCAGAGTGTAGTTCTCCAATCCCCCAAACATGAGCCGAAACTTCATGAAGGTACAAGAAGATCTGATTTCATTGGCACCAAAGGACATTCTTTTATGCAGGTTTTACACACAGTCCCGCCCACAGGGTTTTGTAGAACCACCAATAAAACACATACATTACAATAACACACTCCCAGCAATTACACACAAACCCTCCCCTCTGCCTGTGATATAATTACTGAACACAATGAGTTAATGTAATTATCACAGGCAGGAAGAATACACTTTTTAAACATACACTGTAACTTTAAAAATATGCATCATATTCACATACAACATACATATTCAGAATCAGCATACTTTAAATATAAACATAACCAAAAATCATACAAATCCCTACAGTAGTTCAAAAGTTAGCTGGAAGTCCTTTATGACCGACCGCAAGCACATTTTCCTGCCCAAAACAGTTCCATAGATTTGGGCTGTGTGGTCGGTCTATTTCAGGCAGAAAAATGACATCCCATTCAAATGCACGAACGTGGCCGTTCGTGCATTTAGCTAAGTCTCACTGTATGTTCAAACTGCCGAATGGGACTTAGTCTCTGTAGCTGAAAACGGAGTGTAGGTGAAGGTAAGGGTCAGCGATGTTTGTTGAAATGTGTAGCCGATTTCAGTTCCATGAATTTGGCTACACATACCGCTGACCTCGTTCGAATGAACATAGATGGCCGCGGCCACGTGTTCGTCTGCACGAACTGCGGCCACCCAGCAGCTGGCAATTTACCTACAGCAGGTTCCCAGCCTGGGAGGTAAATTGCCTGCACACTTCCACTTCTGGGTGGTCCGCCTGTGTGGTACTTGGTTCAGTAAGCTCCATTTACTGAACAAAGTGGGAGAATGCCATAGACAAAGTATTTTAAAGGTCTGGGGACATAGTCTTAAAGGGGCATTGTCACACAAAGTCTCAATATGTCCCCAGATGGTTCTTAAAGGGCCAGCATGGTCCAATACAAGTCCATAAGCCACAATGCAGTTCTTAATAGGCCTGCAGCAGCAGCACAATACAAATCTATTAGCCCAAATAATGTTTGTAAAGGGCCATACAACCCAGGGCCATAGTCATGAGGCAGGAGGCTGGCAATCAGGCACCCCCAACAGCCAGGGGCAAAGGGCAGCTTGTCACCTAAAAATCCAGTGACAAAAGGCATTTCGTCACAAACAGGTTTGAGTGAAATACTTTCAACGACTTCCCCAAATACCACATGTAAGCATCATTATATACTCATTACAAGTAGTGATGTCGCAAACGGTTCGCAAACTTGCCGCGAACGGTTCGCCACGGTTCGCCACGAACCATTCGTTGTGAACTCCGGTCAGCTGACACATCCCTGCCAATCTCCGGCAGACCCTCCCTCCCAGACCCTCCCACCTCCTGGACAGCATTCATGTTGAAGCTGCCTTCAACATGGATGCTGTCCAGGAAGTAGAAGGGTCTGGGAGGAAGGGTCTGCCGGAGATTGGCAGGGATGTGTCAGCTGACCGGAGTTCGCCACAAACGGTTCGTGGCGAACCATTCGCGGCAAGTTCGCGAACGGTTCGCGACATCACTAATTACAAGTTGTGGAACACAAAGTGCAATTCCATAGCCTTGACCCCACTAAAGAACTGGAGGGTTCTCAAATAATGGTGCAATATTTCACTAGACCCAGTTCAAGACTTGAATGACAACATTTCAGGAAAGGTTGAAGTTTTTTCTTATGACATCTTTATATGAATATATTGTAATAACATCTCCACTTACAATTAATGTCCAAAGGAAACTGAATTGCAGAAATGAATAGTGATCTATTATATAAAACTTTATAGTGTTTCCTGTAATCTTTGTTTTTTCATATTTATGTTATTATTGCCAAGAAAATATAATTAGAAGAAAATTGCATTTATAAGACCACAGGAGGGAGCATAACACTGCCTCCACAGGCCTGCTTCCTTTTCATAATGCATCCTGCTGCTATCTCTTCCCCAGGTAAACAACGCACATGCACACGGCCATCCACCTGATCTAAATAAAAATTTCATTTATCAGACCAGTCTGCTGGTCCAGTTCTGATGCTCACATCAACATTGGAGGTGCTTTTGCTGGTTGACAAGGGTTATCGTGTGTCCTTTGACTGGTCTGGGGCTTTGAAGCCCAATATGCAGCAAACCACAATGCACTATGTGTTCTGACAATTTTCTATCATGGCTTGTATCATGTTTTTCAGAAATTTGAGCTACAGTAGATCTTCTGTGTGATCTGAACAGACGGCTAGCCTTCACTCCAGACATGCATTAGTGAAACTCATATAAACAAAAATCAGGGAATGCACATACTTAATTCCTTAGGATCTTTACTTGGTCCTACACAGATAGAGGTGGCAAAGACTCAAAACCAGAAAAGGTGTGTTCTACGTGCTCACTATAGTCGATGCAGTGGATAACTCAAGAATTCCCGAACCTTGTATACCAGACAAACCAAAAAGAAATGGATACACCACGCCAAAAAAGTAACCTTAACGTGCAGTTAGTGCTGTGATACATACATGAACCAATAGGAGTACTCCAAATTAATTGATTAGCTGACTCAAAAGAAAAAAAAAAAACAAAGATCATAGTGCAGTATATTTTGACAATATACAAGTATCAGTGAAATTTATACAGGGAGCACACTCATATTCTTATGAGCTAACTCAGAGCTCTGCTGAACTGCAAATTGACGGTATAATCCATCAAGATAGTAGGTGGTCCCCGAATAAGGTAATGCCAATACAATATGTGGAGATAACAACAACAAAAAAACTCCAATAGTGTAAAAGTGTAGTAAGTACATGTATATCAAATATAAAAGAAGTATTGTACTTAGAATTGCTAGAGCAGAACTTGTTCTAATGGTTGAAGGCCTGGGTGGTATAATCCCCACCTAAGGATATTGCAGGGACCAGGAAGTCCATAAATGCAGGTAATAATGGGTGAGATGTGTATATATATATATTGTATTAACTTTATTGGATAGTACAATATAAAAACACTAATAAAGCACAAAAAATAATAAACCTGCAAATACTATAGGGACCACACTTAACGTGTTTTTCCTCTAAACGCTTCATCAAAAAGACAATATAAGTTCTGTAAATAGGCGCCCACTAGAAGACAGGCATTTGTAGGCAGGTTCCTACACGGCCTGATGGGAAATTGGACCCTACCACTTTTTAATTACATGAAGTGGTCATGGTGCTTGGCATAACCCTTCACTGTATTTTTCAAATTAAAGTAGAAATCTCTCAATTTTATAACCAATGTGCCAGATTAGTTGGAAAATATAGCCATGGCAGCAGCCACCATAATGATGCTGTTATTATTTTTCAATGATCCCTTCAGTAATTTTACCTCTTTCTTTGCTAACCTTAATAGGGCTTAATTTTCACCAAATAATTGTGAACTTTTTGCACAAGCCCACTAATGTAAGCCTGTGCATATGGCTTTGTCATAGCAATTTTTTTTTAAAACTAACCCTTAGATTTTATGGTAATCACAATTATATTATTATTATTGTTATTTTTATTTATATTGCACCAGCAAAATCCGTAGCGCTATAGAGCAGGCATAGGAAACCTTCGGCACTCCAGATGTTGTGAACTACATCCCCCTTAATGCTCTTGCACCCATAATGCTGGCAAAGCATCATGGGAGGTGTAGTCCAAAAGATTGCCTATGCCTGTTATAAAGCATTCTGAAAGACTAAAGTTCACTATTTCAAATCTGTATTCAGCCAGCACATAAACAAAACTACAGTATCAAAACAATTTCTGTGATTAGCAATGCTTTATTATTATGTGAAATTAACATATCCTATTATTGTAATGGTAATCAGAATGTATTGCATGGCAATATTTTTTTTCTTTTTCACAATAACAAACACCAATTACTTTAATACTTTTGTCAAATTAAATATCCGTAGTAAGATTACCAGATAAATTACTTTCGGAAAAAGTCGCTTTACCACATTTCCTTTGGACAACTCGTTTTTAATCAACTGTTTGTGTTTCTTCTATAACAAAACTAATTACGTTCGGTCGCAATGTTTGTTGGGTTTTCATCAAAAGATTAAAATACTCATTAGTTAAAGTTTTTTTTTTTTTGAGTCGTATAGTTTTTCGGGGAAGTATGCTCATTTAGCTATGCATATAAAGTATTAATGAGATGATGTCATACTCTACCGACGCTCCGAATAAATAAACACAAAAATTTAGCAGTTTCATTTTAGCTGATTCAATTAGATCTAAGCCAAAGATTGAATTTTCATACTGTGTATGTTTTAAAGCTTAACCAGAGATCTGATCTTAAGGTTTGAAAAATGATAAAGTGTAGTGTAGTATAGGGCAGGAAAAGCCCAAAGCTATAAGGATATACAAGCAAGACCACTAGACAGCTTAGAAACACAGTGAATTTTTTTGTGCTCAGAACGTTAACTTGTATTTATTGAAAAAGCAGTAGATGTAAAAGCAAACAGATGTATGGGAAATGGCCGATATTTATATATATTTTTACTAGATTCTTTGAAGTTATTCCAATTCAAATATTACTATAGATGATGTGTTTTTAACTTGATGAAGTCTCAGACTTACAGCATGCTTATGCATGTGAAAATTCGGAAACACTTTTATTTTGTAAAGCAGGTAAAAAGCTTAGTAACTAATTAAAAATTAAAAGTCCTGGTAATAGACCTAATAGCAATCCAAAATGTTCCCAATTTCTGGGAACTCATAATAAAGCGTCCTTTCCATTTTTCAATAAACCTGTAGTTTTTTGTGTCAGCAATGCTTTTCTTAACTGTTCTGTAATCAGAATGAATTATAAGGGAACTCACCTGGCCCTTACTGGAGGTATGGCTGAGTAAGAAATTATACACTTCTTTTTAACTATACCAAGTCATACCAGCAATAGGCGCTGTGATAAGCTGAAAGCAGTCAGCTGACACTGTCAGGCAATTGCAGCCATCTTTTGCTGCTCAGGCTAATGTTTAGTCTAAGCCAAGGCAGTCCAACCTTTGGTAATCCGATGGCTGCATTAAAAAACCCCTACGATTTATCTGAGGACCGCGAACAAAGTTATAAATTCTTTACATACTAACTTATTATGTCATACTTTAGTAGTTATTAAGTCTGCATATATAGGTTTAGCAGCCATACAAGATAAAATCTATTTAGTAAAGATGAATGGTCATTTTGGCGATAACGGCCCAAGGCTGTGCTGGCATCCCATGTAAAAATTGCGATCTAGTGTGTAAAGTGGATGCAGTGTATATGAAGGGTGCAGTGTGTGTAAGGGGGGGCAATGTGTGTGAGTAGTATAGTGTTTTAAACAGGGTGTGTATGAGGGGTGCTGAGTGTTTGAGTGGTTTCATGTATGTGTGTTAGAGGTGCAGTGTGTGTGCGAGGGGTGCAGTGTTTGTGAGGGGTGCAATGTGTGTAAGGGGTTCAATGTGTGTGATGGGAGCAGTGTGTGTGAGAGAAGTGCAGTGTTGGTGTTTGTGCGGTGCAGTGTGTGAGAAGCGTGTAGCATGTGTAAGCGGTGCAGTGTGTATGTGAGGTGTGCAGTGTGTGTGTGAGGGGTGCAGAGTGAGTGAGAGGGATGCAATGTGTGTGTGAAAGGGGTGCAGTGTGTGTGAGAAATGCAGTGTGTGTGAGGTGTGCAATGTGTGTGTGAAAGGGGTGCAGTGTGTGTGTGAGAAATGCAGTGCGTGTGAGGGGTGCAATGTGTGTGAGAAGTGCAGTGTGTGGGAATGGTTCCATGTGTGTGAGATGTGCAGTGTATGAGAGAATAAATGTGTGACACAGAGGTGCAGTGTGTGAGAGGTTCCATGTATATGTGAGAGGTAAAGTGTGTGTGTGAGAGGGGTGCAGTGTGTGTGATGGATAGTCTGGCCAGAGTGATATTTCTATCTCCCCAATTGGATTGCACGGCATTCAAGTGAAACCACCCACCTGTGAAAGCAGGTAGTAAAACATCTAGGTTTGTGAATGGCACTATATGTATATGTGTCTGAGATAGTATCTGGAGATCCATCCATCCATTCATCTATGTCCTTTTTTCCCCCTAAATTTTATCCATGATGAATGTTTATAACTTTTGAAAGTAAAAAAAGAAAAAGAAAAACCAAACAAAATCTATATTTTAAAGATCAAAGTTTATAAAGTTTAACCCCTTAAGAATGGTGCCGTCCTTATATGGGGTGGCTCTAAATGACGGCAGGCGGCATAGAACGTCCCTGTTGTCCTTATTACTTACCCTATTGCCACTTTTCCCCCGCTGGCAATCGGCTTTGCTCCCGGTCTGGGGGAACTGCCTGATAGCCCAGACAGTCCCCCCTCGGCAAATTAGGCCTCTGAGGGCCATGTGATCGCTCTGAAAGAGCGGGCACATGGCTGCAATAGGCGTCCATAGTGCTGCCTGCAGGGGGACTGCCAAGGCTGTCAGACAGTCTCCCTGCTGCTGTAAAATAAGATAAAATATATCAGTAAATAAAAAATAATAATATATATATATACAGTTGCAAGAAAAAGTATGTGAACCCTTTGGAATTATATGGATTTCTGCACAAATTGGTCATAAAATGTGATCTGATCATCATCTAAGTCACAACAATAGACAATCACAGTCTGCTTAAACTAATAACACACAAAGAATGAAATGTTGCCATGTTTTTTATTGAACACACCATGTAAACATTCACAGAACAGGTGGAAAAAGTATGTGAACCCCTAGACTAATGACATCTCCAAGAGCTAATTGTAGTGAGATGTCAGACAACTAGAGTCCAATCAATGAGATGAGATTGGAGGTGTTGGTTACAGCTGCCCTGCCCTATAAAAAATGCTTTTCACAAGAAGCATTGCCTGATGTGAATGATGCCTCGCACAAAAGAGCTCTCAGAAGACCTACGATTAAGAATTGTTGACTTGCATAAAGCTGGAAAGGGTTATAAAAGTATCTCCAAAAGCCTAGCTGTTCATCAGTTCACAATAAGACAAATTGTCTATAAATGGAGAAAGTTCAGCACTGCTGCTACTCTCCTTTGGAGTGGCCGTCCTGTAAAGATGACTGCAAGAGCACAGCGCAGACTGCTCAATGAGGTGAAGAAGAATCCTAGAGTGTCAGCTAAAGACTTACAAAAGTCACTGGCAAATGCTAATATCCCTGTTAGCGAATCTACAATATGTAAAACACTAAACAAGAATGGATTTCATGGGAGGATACCACAGAGGAAGCCACTGCTGTCCAAACAAAACATTGCTGCACGTTTACAGTTTGCACAAGAGCACCTGGATGTTCCACAGCAGTACTGGCAAAATATTCTGTTGACAGATGAAACCAAAGTTGAGTTGTTTGGAAGAAACATACAACACTATGTGTGGCGAAAAAAAGGCACATCACACCAACATCAAAACCTCATCCCAACTGTGAAGTATGGTGGTGGGGGCATCATGGTTTGGGGCTGCTTTGCTGCGTCAGGGCCTGGACGGATTGCTATCATCGAAGGAAAAATGAATTCCCAAGTTTATCAAGACATTTTGCAGGAGAACTTAAGGCCATCTGTCTACCAGCTGAAGCTCAACAGAAGATGGGTGTTGCAACAGGACAATGACCCAAAGCATAGAAGTAAATCAACAACAGAATGGCTTAAACAGAAGAAAATACACCTTCTGAAGTGGCCCAGTCAGAGTCCTGACCTCAACCCGATTGAAATGCTGTGGCATGACCTCAAGAAAGCGATTCACACCAGACATCCCAAGAATATTGCTGAACTGAAACAGTTCTGTAAAGAGGAATGGTCAAGAATTACTCCTGACCATTGTGCACGTCTGATCTGCAACTACAGGAAACGTTTGGTTGAAGTTATTGCTGCCAAAGGAGGTTCAACCAGTTATTAAATCCAAGGGTTCACATACTTTTTCCACCTGCACTGTGAATGTTTACATGGTGTGTTCAATAAAAACATGGCAACATTTCATTCTTTGTGTGTTATTAGTTTAAGCAGACTGTGATTGTCTATTGTTGTGACTTATATGATGATCAGATCACATTTTATGACCAATTTGTGCAGGAATCCATATCATTCCAAAGGGTTCACATACTTTTTCTTGCAACTGTATGTATATACATGTATGAGATATATATATCTATATTATAACTATATATAATATGTATATATATATATTTATATATATATATATATATAATGTCATACTAAGTATATTTTTTAAATTAATATATGCATAAAGTAATATAAAAATACACTTAGAATTATATTACACACACACATATTTATATATAAACTATATATACTGTATATATATATATATATATATATATATTATAAAAAAATAATAATAGGTAAACAAAAATAAATAAATAAATACAAACTTAAAAAGAAATTATATACATATATGTAATTTCATTCTAACTGTATTTTGATATGAAAATAAGGAGCACTACATCCAGTATGCACCTACTGGGGGTGTAGACCAATTAATTAGACCATCATGCAACCAGGGATCAACTTTCGCCCCTCCCTGACCAAGGTAAGAAGATGGAAGGGGAATTAAACTTTTTTTTTTTTACAATTTCCATCTACACTATATCCCTTATCTCTGAAGTTACTTGGTTTCTTATACAACATTTGACAGGTGTCAGTACCTAATTATCAGCATATACATCAACTAATGATGTCTGATGATGTCTCTCCTATTCCGTAGACACGTATGTCCGATATCTGTTAGCAGGTCCTGATAAAGCTCTAACCAGGCTATTTAAGCATGGTACAAGGTAGATACTATCAAAACATTATTATTTGACCCAGCTTGTTAATACAAAGTTAATACAAAGCTTTAACAATACAGCTTGTTAATACAAAGATTTATCCACCATTCAATTCTACAGCCTATAAATTCTGACAGCTGAAATGTCCTTGCCTACAACACCAATGCCTCCAGCACGAAGTTAATGACCATGTCTGTGAACTGTTCCTCATTGCAGTTGTACTAGTCTCATCTAAGGACCTGATAATTTTATCATGTAGCCTTTCATTAAATGACTCCACTGATGATTTAATCATTCTCTTCTCTGGGGATGATTTCTCAGTCCCTGGACTTTGATAAAGAAGGAGCCCTGTTTTTTTAAGGGCATATGGCATCATATTTTTTTGTAAAGAGCAGATCATTTTCTAACTGAATGCAATGAGATTTGTTTCCTTTTTGAGGACATCTTTTAGGTGGACATCAATGTCTGGTAATAGTCTTCATATCTATTATTCGTCGTTTGAATGCTAGCCTCTTTGGTGGAACTGTCTCCAGGTTTACCTACTGTGTGACACACAGCCATGTCATCTTAAAAGGGCAACCAAATTACCATAACCAGTACAGCCCATTGTAATGATCAAAGTTTTAGGCTACAGGCACTCTCTCCAGAATCTGTATTTTTTTGTGTTTTTTTTTTTTTTTTTAAATGGGGCTAACTCAGGCACCCATATTTATAGTCCCCCCTGTTGCTATATTCTTAATTCAGGTTTACACTTCATATTAGCAAAATTAATTTCATCCCCATTTTAGGTTACAGTGTTAGGCTGGAGCTGTAAACCGATGGCTCTTTGTCTTCCAATGTATTCTGCAAAAATAGTCAACTGTGCATTATTAGTGATTCAGAGAGGGAAGGTGGAGGGGGGATAACCGTGCACTCTTCATATTTGTAAAATGCCTATAATATTACTATAGGTCTTACCACTGGTGTTAAAACATAAACATGAATATGTAGTAGCTATTTTTTCTGCTAACAATGGCGCTGGAACCAGTATCAAAGAAAATGGAATTATATATAAAGGAACCCACATAAAGGTAAGGCAATTTCAAATTAAAATATAATGGATCTATTAGGGGTATAACACAGAAAATAATACTTTCAGAGCACCAGAGCATAGCAAATTGCAGCTCTTAGTTGTTGAAAAGAAAGGAAACACATACACATACACGTACATGCATAAAACTACATGAAATAATACTAAATAGATTAAAAAGAAAATAAACATGTAACTCCAGGGCTTTTTGGCTGGAAGATAGTAAATAAATGTGAGCTAGGGTACCTCAAGCACCTACTCATTAGAAGACCAGGCAATGCCCTCTCCTAGAACAATGGAAGTGATGTCCTGAAGACAGAGAATTCCTATTCTTCGGAAACAGAAGCAGCTTGAGCCCGAAGCAAAACTCGATGTTAGGACTTCACTTGTGCCTCTCTCTACAAACATGCCAACTGTGCAAATTGGGACATCTATAAAGAAAATATCTGTAACAAAAATATGCTACATTGTCAGGCATTCCTGGAATACTATTCACTCACACTGTCAAGAGATGGAGAAGGAGTCCAGCACAGTCCCTCTATCTAGCATCCCTCTCCTTCTTGAATTTCACCTGAGGATCCATCCCCTTCCTGTACCACAATGTTTTTAACACAAAAAGGTTGCTTTGAGAATCAAGTGTCTGATGTAAAAATAATAAAACAAACACTATTATTCTGGTGCCTCTCCACCATCTGTGGAGATCCAGAGCTAAAGATCTATGCATTCAAGGTTTCAGTCCCCTAAAACCCCAGAGCACTGCATCTGCCTCTAGAAAAGACAATGAGAAAGGAGGAGGTAGGGAAATATACTGTAGGTGGGTTCAAAATTTTCAGTCCCCACTAGTCTTTGGTGAGTGGAAATGTATCATGAGTGAGTGGGAATTCAGCCCTCACTTAACTAAAGCACCCAAGACAAGCATGTAGATTTATATAGGAGAGGATCACATGTAAGTTCCTCTGTTCTCCTCTTACATACAGATGTATTATTATTATTATGTTATTATTTATATAGCGCCAACAAATTCCGCAGCGCTTTACAATGGGTGGACGAACAGACAT